CCCCCCCAGTTCATGCTTTGATATTATTAACTATTAGTTAATCCAGTAGAGTAATGCAGGTCAGGGTAAGTTCCAACCCAACACACAGTACAGCCTGGAACCTAGTCTGGGACTGCTGCTGTTGTGTAGTTTACCATAGAGTTCAAGCCGACCCATAGCTGACCCTCCAGTAGGTTTTCAAAGGCAGTAAATAGAATAGGAGGAGATTGTCCATCCTACTCCTGTGGAGCAGCTGGTAACTTCAAACCACTTGTCTTTGGGATTGCAGCACAGCTTTTTGCCACTAAGCCACCAGAGTTCAGTCAGGGAACTAATGGTCATTCTCTTTTACTCATCTTCGGGATCTCTGGTGGCCTAGTGGTAAGAAGCTGTGCTGTAATTCTAAAGGCAGGTGGTTCAGGTCCAGCAGGTGCTGTCTGAGAAAAGGATGGGCAGTCTCCTTCTATGAGATTTACTGCTTTTGAAAACCTGCCAGAGGGTCAGCTATGAGTTGAGTCCAACTCATGATGTACAATAACCTCATTTTGATATCTTATTGTTAGGTGTCATCGAGTTGAGTATGACTTGTAGCGACCCTGTGAACAAAAGATCTGAACTCTGTTCTATCCTGTGCCATCCTGACACTTCCTGACAAAAAAGCCCATTGCAGCAGTCACTGTGTCAGTCACTGGCTGAGGGTCTTCCTCTCCTTCGCTGACCCTACACCATTCCCAAAATCATGTCCTTCTCCAAGGAGTAGCAGCATGCCCAAAGTATGTGAGGTGAAGCCTCATCATTGTTGACTCCAAAGAGCACTCTGGCTGCACCTTCTCCAAGACATATCCATTTGTTGTCTTAATCATCCATGGGATGTTCAGTGCTCTTCTTCAACATCACAGCTCAAAGATGTCAATTCTTTTTTTGGTTGTGCTTATTCATTGTCCAGGTCTTAGAAGCATAACAAGTAATTGGAAAGGTTATAGCCTGAATCAGATGCTCCTTAGTTCTCAAACTGATAGCGTTTCTCCTCAGTAACTTGGAAAGGTCTCTAACTGCGCATTTCCCCAGTGCAGTGTGGCTCCTTATTTCCTGACTGCTGGTTCTAAGGGTATTTATTGTCAATCTGAGCAAGGTGAAGCTGTTGACAGGTTCAGTCTCTATCCATTATGATGCTGCTGATTGGTCCACTGGTAAAAATCTTTGTTTCTTCACATTGAGATGCAATTCATACCAAAGGCTGGATTCATTCACGTTTCACTCTGGAGCATACTAGTCTTTGGTCTTTTACTAAAGATTTCCCAGGGTTGGAGCCATTATGATTTAAACAGCACAAAAACTTTGATGTGTGTTGATTTTGATTTCAATTTAGTATTTCCAGTTCCTGTCTTATAACTGCACTAGAGAAGGACCATCTGGGCCAAAGAAAGGACACAGAAAGCTGGAATAGTGATTTTCATAGCAGAGATTTCTTATCTGGGCCATTGAGGTATATATATGAGCATAAGTAGGGATTCCAGAGTGCAGACATGAATAAATTTCACCCTTTACTATAAATATTGAGTTTAACTGTATGCTACTTATAGACCAAGTTTACAGTTTAGAATATTTATTTGACTGCGTAACCACCTTCTTAAGGTCCTAATGTTACAATGAGGGAGCTCTGTTGGCTTGGTTCTGGAATTGCACTGTCTGTGGGAGAAAGATGAGCCCTCTCCTCCTTTGTCTCTGAAGACCCACTGGAGGATTAGCTATGGGTTACTTCTGACTAGTTGAAACACAACAACAGCAACATGTTGCTGTATGCTCAGTCCGGCAGTGATTGTAAGGATGTCATGGGATTGGGCAATGCTTTGTTGTGTTGTACATAGGATTGCTATGAGTTGAGATTGTGATTCAGCAAAAAAAATGGAAGCAGCAGTGACACAACCTTGCTTGCTGAAACTGAGGAATACCTGAGGCATTTGCTGCAGAAAGTTAAGAATTGCAGCTTTCAAAGGATTGAAGCTCAGCATCAAGAAAACATCACCACTGGGCCAGTTGGCAGCATCATAATAGATGGTGAAGAGATTGATTGTTACCAGATGCAGCTTCCTTGACTCCATAGTCAACATTTTTGGTACCAGCAACCAGGAAATCAAAAGAAGAATTGGACAAATTGCATTATGAAAATTTACTGTCAGGGATCTCCCCAGAGTACTGACTAGACTAGCATTGGTGTCAGTCTAGAGATTAAGGTGCACCTGATTCAGGCCATGGTCTTTGCAATTACTTGCTATGCATTAAGGAACTGGACAGTGTAAGGAAGATAGAAGAAGAATGGATGCCTTTGAGTTGTGGTGCTGGAAAAGAGTATTGATTATACCATGGACTGCTAAGAGAGCAAACAAGGTCATCCTAGAGAGGGTGAAACCAAGTGACTCCTTGGAGGCAAGGGTTTTGAAGCTCCATCTGACATATTTTGAGCATGTTGCAAGGAGGGACTGGTCCTTGGAGAGATCCATCATGCTGGAAGGGTGGAGGGATGACACAAGAGAGGAAGACTCTGGATAAGATGGGTTGACTCAGTGACTGGGATAATGGGAGTAAATGTGTCAGAGACAAAGAAATTGGCTCAAGACAGAGCAAGGTTCATAGCGTCGTTATGAGTTGACGTTGACTCAATGGCACATAACAACAACAACCATAACATATAGTAAGAAGGACTATAAATGGATTCTGGTTACTTGACTATGAACTTTGGGATTTATAAAATTTTAGAATGCTATATATATTTCTTTTTTTGGCAATATTTATATTTTCTTGCTGAATTCTACTTAGAAAGTGAGTAAATTAGTATTTTGCAAAGTGGCCTTATGTTTGTCTAACAAGGAATTCAGCAAAAGAGTTCTTCTAGAAGTTTGTAATGAAATTAAAAAGTATCTAGCATCATCTCTGGTAATAAATGAAACTGATGTTAAAGATGCAAATAGCCATTTTAGTACCTTCTTCTTGCTAAAATTAATTAAGCCAACAAAGTACTTCATTATCTATTACTCTGTATGCTAATGGCACATGTGAAGTTTCACTCTTAGAAATTTTTTTTCTGAAAATGTACATCTCCATTGTGCAACTATGTATTAATGGTAGTTGAGCTGTTTAATTGGGAGAAAATATTAATTAGACCTCAGTTCAACTAACAGTTTTCTTTATAACCAAGAAATTTTGGTGAGGTGGATTGACTCTGACTGGGGAAATGGGATTATGTCTGTCAGAGAGGATGATATTTAGCTCAGGATAGGGCAGAGTTCAGAGCTAATGTTTATAGGGTCGCTGTGAGTCATAAGCTACTTGATGGCACATATTAAGACAACAACATTTGAAAATAGTTGCACTCAGGGCAACTTTTGTCCATCTTTTTTTAAAGGAAGAGATTAAAACAATATATAATGCATTCTTATTAAACTGTCACAAATTTAATTACATTCAACTTAGCATTGTGGAATTTTAAATGTAGTCTATTAACTAAGATTAAAAAAAGGTGTTATAAATTACTGATAAGATTGGTTCCTTTCATTTGCAGCATTTAAATATTAAGACACTGACGGACGACATGGTAAGGTTATCCTCAATGCTGCTATTGCTGTAAACTTTAACTAACCATGTACTGTTGATAGTGTGCTGTGCTAACACCTTCTTTTGAAATTGCTTAAAATTGCATGTATTGGGAATGACTGTTTTCATGTGTCAAAGTAAGAAGCAGAACTGGTAAAAACATTCAGTTGTTATCTTTAAGTAGTAAAAGAAAATAGACAATGTGTTAACAAAATTGCTCACTTACAAATTGTTGGTCAACTTTGAGTCATTTGAATTGCCTGTCACTCTCTGAGGGTGAGGCATATGTCGGAAAGAAATAGGAAAAATAGCAAAAGCCATATACGCTATTCAGACATACATAGATACTAATTAAAGTAAATCATACTGATTTGTCATGCATGTATTTTTGAAAATTGCTTAAGTATGTCAGAACAAAGCATGTTTTATTATATGTTCTGCATGTAAAAAGAATTATTTTTTGTATAAGTAATTATGACTCCATAGTGCTGTTACAGATTTTTCAATAGTCAAGTAAATTTTTTTCTGAGAAAAGTATCTTTGAATGTAATTCTTATCTAATGACAAAGAAATGACTACAAGGACAATAACAAAAGTCTGGAGTGATAATTTTACCTCCTCGTTGCCTATTTGGATACCTTTTATTCCCTTCTCTTGTCTTATTGCTATTGCTAAGACTTCCAAAACATTATTGAATAAAAGAGGTGATAGTGGGCATCCTTGCCTAGTTCCTGTTCTTAAAGGGAATGCCTTTAACCTCTCTCCATTAAGAACAATGTTG